GATCTCTGAAGTGCTGGGAATGGACTAAGGGGCGCTCCGTCTTTGCGTTTGCAACCATGTTGGGGAGCTATCTAAGCATTCAATGGTTCCCAACGGTTATAAGATCACTAATTCTGTGACAACGTAAAAGGGTCACCTCGCAATTGTCCCTCTTTGCTAAGCCATGGCGTCAGAAAACGCCACACTTCCCCGCTGAAAAACTCTAGAAATTGAAGATGGGACCTCATAGTTCGAATAAAGAAGTGCTCGTAGCTATGAAGAAGTACTTAAGGCTCCCCAAGTCTCAAAACAACCTGATGGCCTAGGGTTGAGAACCTGTTCGTTTTTTTGTTAAGTTCTTCTTGTTGGGATTCAAATGAGTCTATCCCTCGTCCCGGGTTCCTGACTTAAAACAAAAGGTTATCGCTTGGTTATCGCTGAGGTTATTGCTAAATTAGAACACCTTGATGATCAAGAAAGGAAAAGAAAAAGGGACGTGGAACAAAAAGAACAATTGGAAACATGAAAGGAAAAAGGAAGGAAAGAACGAGAAAGGAAACGAAGGAAGAAGAAAGGACAAATCAAACAAAAGGGAAATAAAACGTAAAATAAATGAAATGCAGAATTGGATTCAAAATCAATTTTGATTTGCTTCAGAATTCCAAAGGAAAATAAAAGGAAAATGGAAGGAAAAACAAAGAAAAGGAAACAAAGGAATACGAAATTCAAACTAAAGTAAAGCACATAAACGGAATTCAGAGTTTGATTAAAAACTATGTTTCAATTTAATTCAGAATTTGGTTGCATTTAGTTTAGTTTAGTTCTACTGCTTTGGGACCTGGGAGAAAAAAACAACTGCCTGCAGAAAGCAACGGTTCAATCACCTTGGACAACAAATGGTATGGCAACTGCAAGAAACGTGGGCACTGCAGGTTGAATTTTCTTCATCAATTTTGCACATCGCGTGAAGGCACACAACAATATTTGCTTGGTTTACACCAAGTTTAATGCACCCTCATAATACGGTTGCAAGCTATCGTTTTTTTGGGGGGGCCTATCGCTTTACATGGTTTGGTGCATTTTCTCAACACAACTGGACCCTCCCTTACTAAAGTAGTCTACGCTAAATTTGACCGCATCTCATAATATAGATCATTGCAAATGTAACTTCGCATGTGGTCACAGTTGCTTTCAGGCCTTCTTGCGCACACAGCGTTTTTGAAATCGAACACATTAATCAAAACCAAACAAAATAAACTATGCGCCTTTCCTACTAGATAGAACGTGTGAGGGAAAATTGAATTTTCAAGAACTGCAGTTTGTGGCTTCTCCTCTGTGTAGTGGAGCGCCAGCGCCCCACATCGCAGCGTCAATGCGCAACCTAGGCAACAAATCATGGTGGTACCCTACAGATATCCAGATCAACTCACCTGGAATCCAAACCACAAGTGACCACCATGCCAGGGTCATGCCTCTGCAGTGGTATCTACTACGGCAATGCGACTCAAAATACTCAAAATTCACAAAAAATCCTTGGAATGAGCTTCTCCATCTAAAACCCACATATTTCAACCCCCGGAGCAATTGCCTTGCGTTGTGCGTGATATGTAAGAATGGGACTGTCACCGGACCACACAAAACTCATGCAAATTCCCAGAAATCATGTTGACAAAGCACATGAAGCAAATGCATTTCCATTTTAGCATTGCGTCTTCGACGTCAAGGTTTTGAAGCAGAAACAGCAAAACATCGTGAGGAGTGTCGGGCTGAGGTCCTGAAGAAGCAAAACCAAAGGGCCCAGAGCACAATAGCAAAGCAGGCCACATAAGCTCCCAAACATATTGTCGAATATTTGTTGACGAACACGATTAACAGCACGAATTGAAGAGTTATGCCACACAAACAGGCAGCTAGCACCAATCCTGTGAGAGATGCACCCACGAGGGTCTGCCAAATTCCACTGGACATGGCTTGGGTTACTAGCTACCCTCTCTGGTAGCCTAAGTCGGCAGTGGAAACTCGTTGTCCATAGATGATATTCTTGTTATTAAGTGTCCAATTGCATGTTTGACTGCCGAAGTGTCAATCGCATCGAACTGGGTTGAACTCAGCCCATGCACTCAACTTCTTTCTTGTAAATAGATCTCTATCAGGGTCTTTGACCCAGGCAAAAATATAGATGTTTGGAAACATGTGAATCAGAAGGGCATGGGTGTTCCTGATGAGGTCAAGTCTGATCATGATGGCTACCCAAGTATATCATTAATATCATGGGTTGTCGGTTTTCAATGTTTTTATTTTGATATGGAAAACCAGGATCATCATGGCAAGTGATAGCAAACATTCGCGTACGTTTTCATAGCCACGCTGATAACAGCTTGCCAGGTCGGGTCACAATGGATTCTACCGGCTGCCAGGGTCCCACAGCCTGATCCGTTTTTTGAGGGATCCATCCCATGAAATTTGGCGACTGCCATGAGGTGGACATATTGGAATTTATGAGACCTTCATAAAACATCCATGTTTACCATGGGGAATTCCCATCTGCTTCCCATCTGCTCGCTGGTTTCAACTTCACATCATCCCATGTCCTTGAAAACCGCCAAGCTACTTCCAGCTCATCCACCAGGGACTGCACCATGACAGCGCCTGAAAAAGGGGTCTGCAGTTCTTTCATGTGTTGAAAAAAACAGTTTTTTCCACGTAGATATGAAAGATATGAAAATCCATGCTTTTCCTGCAAAATGATCTTCATTCATGGTTGATTGTGGCTTTCCAAAGCTATGGAATTGAATGGGTATATGTATGGAAGAGTAATTTACAAGATAAGAAGACTACAAGCGAGTATACTATACATATCTATATATCAAGATATGATGAGTGACTCTATAAAAATGCCTTCCCCATACTAAACATCGCCCTAGAAACTGAGTATTGGATCACTTCAGGGGATGGCATTCGTGTGCCCAACGATATGGAGTTTCTCCACGCTTTCCCTGAGAAATGATCGACATGAAATTGGTGGATGTTCCACAGTTATGTTGTTTTACTGGGGGGTTAAAAAAAGTAAAGTCCTCTTGAAGTAATGGTATATCATGGTATATTTTTTTTGGAAATTACGTCTCAATGATTTAGGGTTTGCTAAGCTTGCTATATGCTCTATCTTATCTATATAACCAGCATGTCGATAAAGATATTGAGATGATAGGAATGCATGGGAAAAAACAGCTGGTAGATGTGGGTGTTGAATGGTTTTGATATGAGTACTAAGCAAAAAGGGGGGATGCCTCAAGTTCGCCCTGAAATTCCTTGCCTGATTGCCACAAAGGGTTGCGAGAACTGGATGGTCAGCCACGTTGTTTTAGATTCATAGAGTTTGTAGCTCTTGACCCATCAGTATTATATATTAGATATTACATTTGGTGGTTTCAACCCCTCTGAAAAATATGAGTTCGTCAGTTGGGATTATGACATTCCCAAAAAAAAACGGAAAGTCAAAAAAATCCATGGTTCCAAACCACCAACCAGACATGTATTACCTAAGATGCGGGACCCAAAAAATTGTGTTTTTTTCCGCCTTTGACTTTGTGCGTGCGAAAACCGTGACAGCGGTAGAGACAACCGTACCCCCAATAGCTGGATGGTTTATAATGGAACATCCTATTGAAATGGATGAGTTGTTGGGGCTATCGTATTCTTTTTAGGAAACCTCTATATATATATCATAAAACCATATATCTGGGCAAATTATATTAATTCACTAACCTGAAAACTTGCGACCATTTTGGGATGATTCCCCTTATTAACCATGATTCCAGGCTTCGGTCGCAGGCTTCGATCGTTATAATTCACCCAGATATATTAATGATATATATATATATAATTTACCCATATATATATATGTATATATATAAATATGTATATATATATATACATATATATATATAAATATATGTATATATAGCCTCGTCCAGGCTTCTGGAACTACCTAAACCTGAATTAGGTTGGTAAAACTTGTCCATTCCGTGACGAAATTTCGTCGCGGAATTAACAAGTTTCATTTGGGTCATGTTCATCATCATCATCATCATCATCCTCATCATCATCATCATCATCTTCATCATCATCAGCATCATCATCATCATCATCATCATTATCATCATCATCATCATCGCGTGTGCGTAGCATCAACTGCTGCCGCAAGTTCACATGAACGTTAACATCCCACCCCCCCCCCCCCCCCCCCCGCGTGTGCGTAGCATCAACTGCTGCCGCAAGTTCACATGAACGTTAACATCCCACCCCCCCCCCACCCCACCCCCCCGCGTGTGCGTAGCATCAACTGCCGCAAGTTTCACATGAACGTTAATCCACCCCACCCCACCCCACCCCACCCACCCCGCGTAGTTCCAGAAGCCCTGGACAAGCCTATATATACAACCACATAAAACTACCAACCGAAGCTTGATTTGCCCAACTTCTGAGATCCCTGCTTGGAAGAAGCCTTCCACAGTGCCGCTTTGTGGGGCGAAAAAAAGGCTCCTCAAAAAAAAAAAGGTTTATAATGGTTGATTATGATAATGGTGATTTTCATGGAATTCTCATCCAGAAATCAAACATTGTGTGGTTGGAAACTCTCCATTCATAGACGATGTTCCCATTAAAACCACCATTTACTTTGTAGATTTTCCATTGTCACGTTTGACTACTGGAGGGCAAACATGTTCTGCTCTCAGACTTGAAATATCTTGGAATCATAAGGAAAAGCACCAATGTCGACGCTTGAGAACTTAGGATTTCTGCTTTTTGGGTGTCCCCGCTTTGAGAAGTATACATAACTACTATACTACTCATAACTGTCAAGGCTTTGAAGGGGAAACTCCTACAGCCGACACTTCCATCAGGATGTTCTTTTTTTCAATTTGTGTTGATCCATGTAAGCTGGTGAACACATGAAGCATCACCAGATACACCATGAAAACACTCTCCTGGTGTCTGAAGCCTCTCAAGCCTGTCAAGCCTCACCGTGTGCCTGCCTTCAGGCCGTGCTTCTGAGGGGCACTACGATCACCTTCCAAGATCACCAAGATGGGATCGCGGTAGCTGGACGGCCTAGGCACGATGTATCGTGGCCAGCAGCTCGAGGGATGTTGAGCCCCTTAGAGTACCACCACTGATGGGGTTAATAATGGTTAATCATGGTTCATAGATGTTAATAGTGGATGATAATGGTTAATAATAGTTATATAATAATGGTTGATAATGGCAAATAATGGTGATTAATAATGGTGATTAATGGTGATTAATGGTGCCCATCTGTTGAAGCCATCTGGTCCATCCATCAACCGACCGTGGCAGCCGTGACCCCGACTCACCGACTCTTTCCGTCACCGACCGATCAGATCGTGGTGCCAATGATCACAGCAACAAAAAATAGGAAAGGAGACAACGGAGACAATAAAATAAATAGTGGTTGTATGTTAATACTATATTGTGTTGCTATATTGTATTATGATAATTAATGCTATAATCACCACTATGATCATATTAATGTTGTAAAACAATAATAATAATAACCTATATTAACATACAATCACACCCATCAACCGTTTTTTTCATAAACATCAACTAGACATTCATATATATATATATATATATAATTCATGTAATAACCATGTATAATATTCCTCCAGAATACATATGATATAATATTATGATCGCGAAAATATCATGTGTATATAATTGTACAATATACGACTGATAATATGTGTATTGTATGATATCAAAACTATATAATTTACATTTTAAAAAACACATATAGTGTATATATATATATACACAATATATAGTCAATATACAACAAATATGTACCTATCTTAAATCCTCTGTATTTTCTATAGGGTTCACATACTTGATATACGATGTAAATTATATTCTATGTGCTTTATATAGTTGATATACTTTATTTGTATCATATAAAATAGTAAGAAATACATAGAAATACATCATCAATCGGATATATTATCATTAACATATATTAACATAATATGAAAGATAACATCAACCATCAATCTGTCATGTTTGCCCCTGGGATTTTTTGGGGCACCACACACCAGCTCAGAGAAAAGCGCGATCTTCATCAAAGCCATCAAGGGCACACTAAGCCTGACGACCCAACATTGCGGCTTTTCAAAGGATTTTACCTCGGAGGGGTACCTGAAAAAAATCGTTGGAGCAACCCCTGTTTATGATGGGCCAAAACAAAGAGACACTTGGTACCCAGGAGCTTAAGTGCTAACTATGTGTTTTTGGCGTACATTTTCTTGGCCAGAAAAACATAGATGAACATACTCCATATCAATTCATATGCCTTTTTCTTGGCGGGAATGTGGAACAATGGAAAAATATGGGAATATGAGAATATCAACAGATGAACCTGAATATGAAACAAACACTGTTTCGGGTTGAGCCGTCATAAGGATAGAAACCACAAGCACCAGTATTCACCAACATTGGGATATTGGTCAACGAAACCATCAGAAGGATCAGAAAATATTGTGACATCATATCCTGGGATGTTTGGAATATCATTCTGGGCAAATCTAAATAATTCACTAACCTGAAATAAGGATATATCGGGATAATTCCCCTTCCTAAGCATGATTCCAGTGTCACAGTCAGGTCACCATAATTTACCCAGACATCATTGACATCATGTCTTCGTTTTCTCATGTCCTCCACATGACTGGTATTTGAGACGCCGCTTGTGGCAGGCTACGGCTTTGACTTGCCCTCGACAGTTGCTACAGTTGGATGTCCCCAACTGGGTATCATAAGCCAACCTTAAGGATGCCCCATTCCAAAAAGTTCAGAGTCAGTGATTCCCTAGAAAGCTGAACAATTGAAGCGATTGAACCATCTACCAACCATTTACCAACCATCTACCACCCATTTACCACTCATCCACCATCCACTGGCACCGCTCCACTTGGACAGCCGGACAGCATCCCAGTGGGGCCCCACAAATATCCGAAGATGCCCACGGACCTCAAGTGGATCGGTTGGGAAAATACCACATGTTCTTGGTATGTGGTTAATATACTGTTCATAATGGTTAGTATATGGTTATTAAATGGTTAATGATGTTGAATTTGATACAACACTGGTTGGTGGTTGACCTACCCCTCTGAAAAATATGAGTGCGTCAATGGGAAGGATGACATCCCATATATGAAATGGAACATAAAACATGTTTGAAACCACCAACTAGTTATTTAGAAGATATCAGAATACAATGGTACATAGCTTCTCTGTATGTATATAGTATAGATATATACTATTGTATAATATACAGTAGTATAGAGTGGCCATGCACACATACTGCAATGTGAACAAGACGATGCAAGGTGTGCAGTATCCCATCACAAAATAAAATATACCAAAATAATGAACCCCTTATCAACAATCACCATGATTTTGCGGGGTTACCTTCCGACAGTCTGGAACAATATCATAAAATATCCCCGATTTCAACAATAGTTAATATCCCAAAAGAGTTGTCCCAATCACCATGACCCTTTGGGGGTTGAACCCTGCGGAACATGATCCCCAAACAATGTGGAAAACTGTGCAACTTCGACTTTGACTTCCACTTCGCCGATCGGCAGCAAGATCATCACAGGATGCATCCGAAGCTTCTTATCACTCTCAATCAACTTCACCTGGTGGTCAGGTGGAACGTGGCAATTACAGATGCACCAAAAAGGCTGAAATTAAGTGGCAGATCCCTGTTGGTACCCAAATTTCTACATTGTACGATGTATTCCAATTCATTTGAAGCGTAAAGCAACTTTTGAACATGTTCGAAGCATCTCTGTCCATAAATGTGTTTCTCCCAAACTTGAAAAAATCCGTGGACATGCCACGTCCGAGAGGAAAAAAAGTCCGTGCAAGGGTAGATATGATCCTTAACAATATTCATTAAATATAAATCCAATAGGTTCCATATTATGTGATATCAATATATATATATATATATCCATGTAGATATGATATGATATGATATAATCCATTTATCTGTAGTTTTTGTCAAACCGTGGCGTCCGTGCTGCCTACTGTGTCACCTCCATTTGCCAAGCACAGCAATCAGCATAATCAGCAGTCCAATGAATCAAAACGGCCTCGATGACGTTGCTGAAGGAAAACTTCAAGGCCAACTGTCCGATGATCGCAGTCAGCAGGGTCTCAGTGGATGATCGAAAAGCTGGGCAAATCCCCGAACGAAAAATGGAGGGCTTGAAGGGAAATTGGATTAGGGAATTGTCTATTGCCATGTTTGATCACCGGATGCGTTTGCTATCTTGGACACGTTTTGATCACAGCATTGGCAGTATATCAGAAGCCGTGCGGATATGGTAAGATCCATCTCCATCTTCTTGTCCAGGCATGTCAGACAAATCCCCCAAAATGATTGTTTCATGATGTTTCATGATAATTCATCTATTGTTCCATCATTAAACAACCGTTTCGCGGATTTGTCAATGTCCCCATTACAGGAGATTCTCGAGTTCACTAGGTCACTAGGTGGATTCAAGGAAACAGTTGCAGAAGATTGCAGAAGCCAATAGTTTCCGTGGTTTCGTTTGTTCCCAACGAATTTCCCAGCTAATTTCAGGGTCTTCCATGGATTGCACATACAGTAATTAGATTTCCATGGCTGGTTGGTGGTTTCAACCTCTCTGAAAAATATGAAAGTCAGTTGGGATTATTATTCCCAATATATGGAAAAATAAAAAATGTTCCAAACCACCAACCAAATGGGTTTTCTTCTTTCCGGGATAGCTCTCCCCGCAACGAATGGCCGCAATTGCGACGAGATGCTAGCATTGGTCTCTCCAATCGACTATCGAAGAGGATCACCGGGCAAGGCAGGACCTAACGATGGTCCAAAGGGAGTCTGCAATGGCCTGTACCAAAGAATGGTGGGGAGGTTCTAAACAGTTCTAAACACTGGGGGATCCCCAAGTCACCATGGGTTTCAATACTAAAATGGTCTAATAGGGATTAGTTGGGGTACCGCCATGGATTGGAAACCTCCAAGCTGGCTTTCATGGTATCCTAAAACAGCTGGGAATTTCGGATGTTTATTCACCCAAATATGGTAAGAATAGCTTTTGGCCCATCCCCATATGGGGACGGCAAAATGAACCAGTTCCATACTAAACCAATGACAGAGGGGGAGGGGATCAATGAAGTTGAGGAGATGTGAACCATGCATCAACGCAAGCAGGAATAAAATCAACAAAACCGTGGCCAGGGATCCATCAGTGTCTGTCCGAGTCAAGAATTCCATTCAGGCTGGACGTTCCCAAAGTTTCACTGATGGTTTGTTTGAACAGTTTTGGGTTGATTTTGATTTCGGGTTGGTTTGGTTTGTTTCCGGATTGGTTTAGGCGGTTTAGGGTTCATTGACGGCTGGATGACGGCTGGTTTAGGGTTCATTGAGGGTAGGTATAGCATGGTTTAGCGGTTCTTAAAGGTTGGTTTGTGGTTTATTTTGGGTTGGTTTGTGTTGTTTTTTGGGCTATTTGTTTTAGCGGCGGTTTAGTAGCAGTCTAGCAGCTACGGAGCAGTGGAGCGGCAGCCTAGGAGCACAAGAGTTTAGCAGCAGCTTACCAACAGCCTGGCAGGATTCTAGCAGCATTCTGTAGCAGCAGTCTAGAAGCAGTCTGGCAGCAGCCAAGCAGCAGTTTACACGCTGCCCATTGTGACACCCAGCAAAAGTCCAGTAACAAAACGGTTTCTGGGAACAGCTTAGCAGCACTCGCTCAGCACCTCAGCAGCACAGTCTAGCAGCACTCTAGCACCAATTCAAATTTTCTAACATGCATTACCAAAGAATTCGAAATAAAAACACCGCAAGGCACACGCTGATCCAAGAACAAAACATCAGAATCTGTTTTAAAAAAAAACTTTTGAACATGCAGTTCTCCAAGGCAGGTGCTGGTCCGCTACGACAAAACAGCAATGCAACGACTCGACCCCAGTACCTAGTATTTGGAGTTTCGGTTTTAAAAATTGAAACCCTGCAAAGTACGGAGAATGTCATCGAAACAGGTTCTAAAGATAGTTTGGGGACCGTGTTAGGTACATACAAAAATGACACGATTTGCAGGCAATATGTTATATTTTGGACTTAAGATATTTCAAATTTATTTCACATATTGATGTTCTCTGAAATATTGCAACAAAATAAATAGTCTTATTTTTTGTGGACAACACGTGCTGTAAAAACATCAAAGACTACAGTCCTGCATGGAATATCATCGATTTCTAGCAAATGTCAGCCCCCTCGCGCAACAACAAACAACGCAATTTCAGATCTCAAACCCTACAAGACACGAGTCATGAAAAAATAGCCCTATCCGACTTCAGTATACTGGTTGGTAGGTATATCCGCTATATGGCAATATATGGTAATCTCCACTACACCAGGTAGCTTTTTATACACCCTAACATATAAGCTACATTATCAAGTACCATTATCAATTGCATTCCCACAACATAATAATTTTCATGGAGTTTTCATCTCATGTCCCGGCAGAAATGATGGTTTATAGTCTGACTAATAATGTGGGTAAAACAATCATAAACCACCCAAAAATGGGAATGATGGTTTATACCACATAAAAAAAATGTGTTTTGGGGGATGGTTTATTATTGTTTTACCCACATTATATCTGGTTGGTGGTTTCAACCCCTGAAAAATATTATATAGTCAGTTGGGATTATTATTCCATATATTATGGAAAATAAAAAATGTTCAAGACCACCAATCAAATATATAACGTTTATAAATTCATGTCAGCCATCAAATGCCAAGACGCCATGGCAATGAAGGGACCCACCTCGCGGCCCGCTACCAGAGAGTCTATAAAATAGATGCTCGGATTGAGTCTACTATCTATATATATATTATATTATAATATATATATATATATATTATCTTAATTATAATATGTGTGATTATGTGTGTATATCTATACTATTCTATACTAACATCTGGTCTATAAATGTCTATAAGTATAGTAGACGTCATCTACAGTGTCCAGAATTCTGAGCATATAAGACCCTAGCTGTATTCCCAGTTAAATTTGCGATGCAGTTCGACCCAAATGAATCTGGTTCCTCGGCGGTGGAAATGAATACCCTCCCAATTCCTGCATGTCAAATGTGCATAGCACCAAACGTATCCAAACGTCGATTTGGACATCTTCGGGTGGGCCTCCGGTACGAAGTTCAGAGCAAAGGTCGTGAGAGCAAAGACCGATCTGAGCAACGTCACTGGATGACTTCTGACATCGGAAAGAAAATAAGTTATTAATTTATATTAATATATAATAGATAATGAAAGAATCCGAAGATATGCGAATGGATCCAAGGCATTCGAAAGCCTGGTACCGAGGCTGGCACTCCTTTTCAATGATCAAAACTTGTTTTACACCTGTCCTCACTGTATGGCTTCTGATAACAAAACAATACAAAACAATACAAAACATGGGTTTTTGCTCACCAATGGCAGTGTGATTTCCCCTACTCAACGTAGGGAAACCATTTGAAGACATGTTCTGTGGTTTGGTCTGTCCCCAGGGACGCTAAATCGATGGAGAGGAAGTAGAGAAGCAAACCAGCAGAGATTCCATAGCCAAAACAGGCTAAGGTTTTGAACCTCAGAGACAACGAGCCCAGATTGGGATGGCTGGAATCCACATGAAAATCTGTGGTTTGCTTGGGATACCCCACCGCTGGGACCTAAGGGGATGGTTTATCATTGTTGATCCCATATTAGCCCAGATTAGCACAAACCGGGTTCGTACTCAAGACAGCTGGTGAACCAGTTGTCGAACTTCACTTGCGACCCATGCATGAGTATGCCCGAGTATCACTATCAGGATGTCTGTGTATCTGCAGGTAATTAAGAGCAACCCCCAAGCTCTGAGCAAGAATCCTTAGCTGCATGCCCAACCACCGTTCCTGCTGAAGGATCTGGTTATTACAGTCACACAGGTGAAAAGGCAAAAAATGCTGACCCCAACAACCCTCTGAAGATAGTCTACACTGTGATGTAAACCAAATATCTACTGTATAATATCATAATCATATCATCACGTGTCATTGACCATATATATATAATTATATATATAGTACAACAAATACACACATACTAGACACAAATACTCTGCGTAATATATAACATGTTTTTTGCCAATAGGATGATACCCTTTTGCGCCCAAGATTGCACGTTGGCGCCATCTCACTGGGATGTCCCACATGATGTACTTCCGGAACATGACATCAACCGAAGAGTCCTGCGAGCCGATGATCAGCCGTGGATGATCAAACGCGGCTCGCGCGGCTGGGTGGGTGTTTCGAAGACTCAAAAACGCCTGCAAATCATGTTATAAGCCAGTATGGAACATCACAGTATATCACACTTATACAATGTTATACATGTATACTACCTTTCCATTTTTCCATCCAATCTTTGTTGCCGGGTCTCCACAGGTGTCACCTTTGTCTTGGGTCACCCATTTGAGACAAGCCATTCAAAGAACATTTTTCTTGAGAAATGGATGTGATACACCTATACATATATATAATGCATATATGTATACATGGGTTGTAAACATCTATATCTACATAATGATATATATTATATCTACTAAAAATGCATATATGGTATATATAATATAATATATAATAAATAATATAAAATAATAACATATATATATACATAGTATATTATATTATAATAATATAATAAATATATATATAGTATTATATATATATTATAATACATAATATATAACATATAATATATAATAAATAATATATAATATAATATATATATAATGTATAGTGCATGTTATATTATATATACCATATATATATATATATTATACATGTTATATATGAACCACGAGTGGGATGCACTTCCAAGCAGAAGAGCAATCTAAACATGTTTGAGGAACTGCTCAGGCATGGGGAAAAATGGAGTCGGATGTTCGTTGTGAATCCAACCACTGCCACGTGTGATCACTTTCAAACTGATACATATGCGGCATGCATGAAGACTCCTACTCTGGAGGATTTACCTATATAAACAATCCTAAACACAGACAAAATTATAGCATCGTATAGCAGCTTTTTATGCATCCAATAGCTCTGTCAACCCGTGGTTTTCGCAGGGGTTGCCATCATTCAAAAACCAGCCCCGCAAGCGCGGTGCGTCCATTGGAACTGGGCTGCATAGCCAAAAGAGGGTGTACAGCATGGTGAGAAGAACCTCACCCAGCTACTGACATTGGAAGTGCGGAAGACATCGGAAAACCATCTCTGGATCACCCCAGCAATGTCTATTAAATTTCACGAGCTCCTGGGATTTTGTGATTTTTAGGGAATTGGATATCAAGGTCAAGATGCAATATTTGGTGCAGTGTACGCGCACAAGGGTGGCACCAAAAAACTTAAGCGTCATGGTTTGCACGGGTTTGCACTGGATCAGCCTTCCATACATGGAAGTGGTCCAATTAATCATTAATCGTTCAGAAAAAATGAAACGGTCGGAAACGGTCGGAAACAGTCGGAAACGGTCGGAAATGGTCGGAAACATGATCAGCCCAAAACTTGTTCAACCCGCATTTTTTTTTAAATAAGCATTTCCGCGCAACGCCTTTTTTTTTGAAGGTCCAAAGGTGTCCAAGGGGAAACGGTTGGAAACAGTCGGAGATCGCACCTTCGCTCGGCAAAAAAGTAGTTGTTTTGTAGCATATGTTCATGAAACATTTTTGAAAATTGTGTAAAAACATGTTTTTTTGCCGAGCGAAGGTGCAATCTCCGACTGTTTCCAACCGTTTCCCCTTGGACACGTTTGGACCTTCAAAAAAAACGGCGTTGCGCGGAAATGCTTATTTTTAAAAAAATGCGGGTTGAACAAGTTTTGGCCTGATCATGTTTCCGACCGTTTCCGACCGTTTCCGACTGTTTCCGACCGTTTCCGACCGTTTCATTTTTTCTGAACGATTAATGATTAATTGGACCACTTCCATGTATGGAAGGCTGATCCAGTGCAAACCCGTGCAAACCATGACGCTTAAGTTTTTTGGTGCCACCCTTGTGCGCGTACACTGCACCAAATATTGCATCTTGACCTTGATATCCAATATTCCCTAAAAATCACAAAATCCCAGGAGCTCGTGAAATTTAATAGCAATGTCATGAAATTTCTGTGTAAATGGTTATATAATTCTAGCAATTTCTTGCCCATATTCCAGGGCCGAGCGGCCGAACATATTCCATGCCAAAATAGCTGGGAAATTTCAGGGAATTGCGAAGACCCCTTTCAGGTGAAATTTGTATTTTTCATACAGTTTGCCAAGTACTCCTTTTCTTCTGGCACGTACGTTGTCGACTGCACATGTTCTTCCCCAAAGAAGATCCTTACTTTCAACAAGTTCTGGAAATGTCATAGTTAATAATGTTGAGCTTTCCAAAAATGGATTAATAATGTTCTTATGGAAATTTGTCATCTACACTTTTCAGGATCTCAAAACCAAATTCATAAGCTTTAAGCTTATGTTCTGGCACGCTTGTCTGGCCTTTCATCAGCAGCGCCATCCCCATCTTTCTTGACATCTTTGCGGCCCCGCAAAGAGCTCTGCACAACAGGATCTGGGAACACAAATCATCGACGATCCTGTTTTCTTCCGCGCAAAATAATTCCACCGATAGAGTACGATGCCACCCCTGGAGTGCGCTAATTTTCTGGAATGCGAAAATAAAACAGTATGCGTGGCCCCCTTCGACCTTCCCCATGGATCCAACACCAGTTTTTTCCATCATATACCAGAAAATTATCACATTTCACCCTGCTGAGTTTTTTTTTCTTTTTCTTTTTTTTTAATTTTTGGTCATTTTTGGCCAAAACGGCCTGGAATGCGATAGTATGTGAAACTACAGACGTCTCACGCGAAACCGCTACCTTGCCCATATTCCAGAAAACGTGATTCCAGGCGATTTTAGCCAAAAAAAAACGAAAAAAAGAAAAAAACAGAAAAAAAGATAAAATCACCGAGTACGAAGATTTTATGGAGTGCGAAGATCTTGCAGAGTGCGTGGATTTTACAGTATGTGTACGTCCCTAGCTGTGGAGTGCGATGCCCTCGCTGGAGTGCGAAGAATTTGTGGAATGCGAAGAATTCCGAGTATGCGTGGCTGGTATAGAGACGACATAGGGAAATTTCGGGGCCAGAACCAAAATTCCAATCCCAAAGCCAGCCCAAACTTCCAGGGGCACACCAGTGGGTTCTATTTTTCCGAGTTCACCTTGGGTGAGGTCCCGGGGAAGAAACTTGCTAATTTTTACTCAGCCAACCTTTAAAAACGTTACCTTTGACAACCCTGTCCTTCTTCGGTAGACAAATGAGGAAACTTCCTTATCAAAGCAGCCTGCAATTCATTCAACGTCCACAGCTGCTTTGGAACGACATAGGGGATAGAAAGCTGTGGAGGGGCATTCAGTGGATTCGCCGTGGGCCAACTGTTCCCTCCAGATTGAGCTGAAATGCCTATCAAAGTAACATACCAAAACCCAGGTCTGGAGTACGATGAAAACATGGTATGCGAAGATTTTCTGAATATGGGAATGTTGCCTCTAGAATAATGGACCTCTAACCTCTTTCACAGAGATCCAACTATCCCCCGTATAAACCCAGGGCTGTTGCTACCTCCGTTTCACCGCAGGGTCCACGGTCTTTGGACCCGGGCTCCGAAGATAAGAGAGCTGACATTATTCACAATGTTGCCTATGGAGCAATTGCAGCAACGGATGATCCCAGCCGAAAAAGAGTGCCGAAATGTTGTCAAAGACATGACATGGCCCTTTGGCTGGATAGTGTACATATATATATATATACATATACATATACACATAACATTGTTAATACGTGTATATATAACGTAATATTATATTATAATGTATACATATAATTATTTAAATATATATATATATATACATATCCTCAATTGTGGCAAAAGAGTAGGAAAAAAAGTCGTTACAGTACCCATCCAATGCTGACCCAGCGTAGGGGATGAACAGCCATTTGCATTTGGCTTGCAGTCGCTTATATAGACTTAAGCAGTGACATGCAGTGACTCTTCATTTGGCTATAGGCTATGACTAGATTCACAAATTCACCAAGTCCCCACAAATTTTTGGGGCTGTCCACCGTGGATGAAGTTGGACCATGGCAGAATCCCCGCCTAGCAGGGAATAGAAGAGATCTTGCGTGGATTTCACCATGTCCGCGCTCGCTTCCTGGTGGACAGCTGCGTCTCGGTATCGGCAGAGGGATTTTGCCAGTTGTAAACCGATGAGAATATAAGCCAGTTGTAAGATGTTGTAAGTTTGGAGGATTGTAGAGTACATTCTTGTATACGTATGTATACGTTATGTCGTTGGGATGAGAACGTTCATACAGTGACTATAAATTCTGAAATCCTCCAAGATCCTCCAAGTGAGGATTTAGCTCAGAATAACATGACTTTGAGATCCTACATGTCCCACGCAAAACATTAGAGCTTGAAGCTGGGGAAGAGCTTGAAGCTGGGGAAGAGCTTAATTTCTTGACTAGGTAATGCTGGGCATCATAGTCCAACATGTTATCCATTCTAAGATCCGAATTGACATCTTCACCCACCCTTTACCGCGATTTACCCAGCACTCTTTACCTGGTCCGAATCCATACTGGAGAAGATCGCAACCAACATCATATCATGTCATATCCGGGTAAATTCTGATAGAAGCCCAACCAAAAATTAGCCAAGTTTGGGTCCTTCACCTGACCAACAATCATTTCTCGTGTTTTGGTTGCGAGGTAGCTACACTACAGCCTTGTTTTGAATGTGTCGTGTAGCAGTAAGCATATATAAAATGTTTTCTCAATACTTTCAGTTCTATATTTTGCTTCTCATTAGTTGCCACATTTTGTAAAACAACAATATTGCCAACAATATGTGAAACCCTGAATTTAAAATTCACATTAAATTTCATCCCTTTATTCTTAACATACTTTCTACATATTACCTCCTCACCTATCACATATTCATCTTCTATACCTTTCATCTTTCTCATTCTGCTACTCACCTCTCTACAAGTTTTATTAGTATAAGCGATGTTGTTTTCACATATCTCATTGCCATCACTCCATCCAAAGTATTTTTCAATGACATTAAGGATAGGCTCATTGTTCATAATCATACCTTTTATATCATAAAGTTTCTTTCTGTCTTCTTCAGTCTTCAGCCTCTTACACTCATACAATGTAATATTATTTTCAAAAATCAAATTAATACAATGGTCAGCATATTTCTCAAATGACATTACATTGCTTACCCTCTCTGGGTTTTTCAACTGGTTAGTGTCTCCAGTTGCCACTACAATTTTATCAGGGTTGTTCTTACAGAAGTCCCATATCAAAGCCCACTTGCCCACATTATGAAAAATGATTTCATCAAACACTATGACATCAACATCAGAATAATCAAACTTCTCAAGTCTCTCATCACCATAAGATATACCAAAAAACTTATTGATGGTCATTGCTTCTGCTCCACACTCTTGTTTTAAATTATTGGTAGGCACTACAAATAATACCTTATAACCTCTATTTTGTAAATGCTGACATATAGAACTCTTACCTGTTCCTGCTACTTCCCCTCTAATCATCAACCTCTTATTATTCAAAATATGCTCATCTATGATTTCATCAGTATTCCATTCATCCTTCACTTCACCAGTCATATTTTGATATTCAGTAATATCACACAAATTACTGGGTTTCTTACAAAATGCCTTGCTGGGAAAATTGAATTTATCAGACCATCTCCATTCTCCAATCTCACTACCAAACTTCAAGACCTCCCTTGCTTTGCCCAGATTAGATTTATCAATCACAAAGGCGTCAGTTTTTACAGAATAGACTTCAACATCATTGTCTTTTAATTTTTTACAAGCCTCATTCATATCAAAGTTATGATGTTGTAAAATAAGTTCTTTGATAAACCTATATCCATTCATCAAAGTTTTTTGTCAGATATGTTCAGCACATAATGCTTACACTCATCTATCTTTTCAGGAATATCATTACCATTATCATCCTCAATATTCTCAATGTCATTCCCCATTTCATCTCTTTCAATCAGCATATCATCATCATCATCATAACCATCATTGAAATAGCGGTCGTATGTAGTTTCAGTGATAATACTTATATCACCACCGTATTTTTCTTGATAGTAAAAGGCATCAACCATTTTTGAAAACACTATGGACGTTTTAGCCTTGTTAGTTTGCTTTTCTAATAGACCAATGTTGATACAAGCAATCATGTTTTTCTTCAACTTATCTTTCTCCTCATCCTCATCCAGTTTCAATTTCCAAAGTTCATCAACTATTTTTTTGTAATTAACTTTGTATGTATTAGATGGAATTGTGTAATAAATGACTTCAACATCATCAGCATATTTGCTCAAAAACTTGCCGTAAATCAAATTATAAGCCCTGTTGAAAAATAAGTTTCTAACTCTGCTTTTAACAAGATACAAGGTCAAATCATTCATCTTGTTAAAATCATTCTTTGAATAATCATATTTTTGCCAAATATCAAATTCAGAAAAACAAGGCACTTCAAAAATATCAATGGTGGATTTAGTGTAGGCTTTCATACAAAGATATTCAACATAAAACCTAACAACAAACAACAAAACAAAAAAAACTCAAACAACCTAAACAATACAATAGATTATAAAATAGACTATACCAAAAACCATAACAACAAACCAAAACAAAAGACAATTTCACTTTTATAAAATGAAATTTAACTATCATTCTTCTTCAAATTCTCCTCATGCTTCAAAGTGTTTGTGTGCCTCTTGTAATTTTGAGCTTGAATTTCATAATCATCACTTCAAATTTATGGGGATAACCAACATAATTTTCATCATCATTTATCATGAAGATTATGGGATTAATTACCACAGTCTCTCCCTATAGGGGAAGCCTCAGCCCCCAGCCAACATACTATCCCACCCCCCAGCATACATACCAGCATACATACAAACTAGCATATCACAACAGCATCACATCTTTCTCAATCTCAAATCTCTTTATTTACCGCAATTACCATGCCCAAACCGCCCTTCATGAACTTGTTGATAACCATGTCTTCTTAACCTCAGCGCGATGTAGATGGCACAGCAATCCAAACTTTTGGGGCGAAATGGAGTGAAAAAGATGTTTGTTTTGTGCCTTGTTGGTGCCAGAATGTCAAGCTTTTGAAGGCTCACTGGCATCAATGCTCTATTGAAGCAATGTCCTATTCCTACTTGACACCCTGAAACCTTGCTACCTACAGACCTTGTCAATCATAAAAGCATCAGCCAAGAGCCCTGTTTTGCAAGTCGCCCTGGTGGCGAAGCAAGCACTGTTTTGCAAGTCGCCCTGTTGGCGAAGCAAGCCTTCTCAAGACGTGAACCATCATCATGCCCATCATGGGAAGACTCGCTTCTCAGTCTCCTCGAGGTTCTCCGACCGAGGGAGGAAGGGCGCTCCACTCTTCTCAGTCTCACTTGGGAGGCCGCGGCCGATGATGATGCCGCTCTTCTCAGTCTCCGCGAGGTTCTCCGACCGAGGGAGGAAGGGCGCTCCACTCTTCTCAGTCTCACTTGGGAGGCCGCGGCCGATGATGATGCCGCTCTTCTCAGTCTCCTCGAGGTTCTCCGACCGAGGGAGGAAGGGCGCTCCACTCTTCTCAGTCTCAATTGGGAGGCCGCGGCCGATGATGATGCCGCTCTTCTCAGTCTCCTCGAGGTTCTCCGACCGAGGGAGGAAGGGCGCTCCACTCTTCTCAGTCTCAATTGGGAGGCCGCGGGGGATGATGAAGCCGCGCTTCTCAGTCTCCTCGAGGTTCTCCGACCGAGGGAGGAAGGGCGCTCCACTCTTCTCAGTCTCAATTGGGAGGCCGCGGGGGTTGATGATGCCGCCCTTCTCAGTCTCCTCGAGGTTCTCCGACCGAGGGAGGAAGGGCGCTCCACTCTTCTCAGTCTCAATTGGGAGGCCGCGAAGGATGATCTCGAGGTTCTCCGACCGAGGGAGGAAGGGCGCTCCACTCTTCTCAGTCTCAATTGGGAGGCCGCGGCCGATGATGATGCCGCCCTTCTCAGTCTCCTTGCCGGAGTTCTCCTCTGCCATGACGTTGTTGCAGCTCACGCACAATGCAAGGATGAGGCAAGCGAATACACCAGATTTGAGCGCCATGGCAATGCCGACACCCCTGAGCTAAAAAGCGTCCCTGAGTGGCTTGAGGAAAAACTCGCAAAAACGCTACGGAAGAACATAAAGATGCTGAAGAATGACACAAAATTCCAAGCGCAAACTGAAAGAGCTAATTTCTGTAGCTTTCCAACTGAGAATGTCAAAGATGCTCAAATTGAAACAAATTCCAAGGTCAAGCTCTCCAAGAATATGTGGCTTCAAACCTCCAACTGACATATTCCCAACAGCTGAGCGCCCCGACAGCAGGATGAAGAAGAGATTGATGACAAAGCCAAGGCGGGGCAGAAGGACAAAGGAACATAGAGTAATCCCAGTATTTACCCACTGACTTTGCAGAACCCTCACAGTTCAAAAGATGGTTACTGTAGATACTGTAGTGAGTAAGGATTGTAACCACTCAGTTCGTCTCCTCCTCATCTGCCTGGGATCTTTCAGAAAACTCATGAGACAATCTCCATCAGAAAAATATGTTTGCCCAATTCTGTCCAAAACTAGGGGAATCTAAAAAAACTGACGATAATCGGTTGGAATTTTTGTGTACCCCATCTTCAAACAAACTCATACCCCCTGGATCCCCTTAGAACTGACAAGCTCTCAGCATCCCCATCCCTCACCTGATACTGCTTCTTGAAGCTCTCTGGCACTTTGCTGAAAAGCGACAGCAGATCTTTGGTCAGCTGATCGGCTCCCTGGGGGAATGACGAAGCTAGATACCCTGTTGGAGGGACGCCTTGGGGGATAAAAAAGTTTGAGAATCAAAGCTAACCCCCCAAGATCTATGATGCCTAAAGAATGGGAACCTAGGGCCTAGGGGGTTCAAGTTTGAAAAGACACCTCATTGCCTAAAGAATGGGAGAGTCCGAATTAGAGTTTTGCACATCAACCCTTGAAGCCTCTGACAAGGTTTATGACTAAGGTGACTAAGGGGTTAGATACGGTTGTATAATGTTGTAGCAGCCTCCAAAACAAGATTCTATAAAGAATTGGAACCCTGAAAAATCGATACAAGGCGAGAACCCATTCAAAGTGGAGGCAGCAGGTCTCTAAAGAACGATTATTGAAATACTGGCTGGTCAGTGGTTCAAATTGTTCTATAACTGGTTTGAATTGGGATATTCCAACAATCAACAATCATATTCACTGGTTGGTGGCTAAACCACGCACCCCAGAAGTAAAAAAGTCTGTTCGGAACATCATCTTATATTTATATTTGGGTTTGAAGGTGTTGAATTTACATGTGAAACTACCAGAAGAGATGTGTTGTTTCACATTGTGTGACCATCTCCAAACAAGGTACCAAAGATAACCAAACTAGCTGCAAAATCCTCAACTTAAATGGATGTTTACATGAAAAACTTACATTCAAACTCAATGGCGAATCTTCCAGCAAGCCAGGGTTTGATTACCAAAGGGCAGGAATTGCATATATATAGTATATTATATATATAATATATATATTATTAATTATTATTATATATATATATTATATATTATATATTATATATTATATTGATCAATGAAAATCACCAAGTTTTGAGTTCTGATTCGAAAAGTCACTTGGAAAATTTTAGCGCTTTGCATCGAAATCCGTCACTTGGAGGTGGAGGCATTCGAGGCATCGGAGGCATCCGAGGCACTTTCTGATAGACATCCCAGTGATTTTGCATATGTCGCGCTGATTCCATGATCAATAGCCCAAAACCTGACAGCCTCAGCACGCTACGAGGTTACCATTGGCACAACCAAGAAGAAGTCTGATATGACTGGATGGTGCGAAAAAAAAAAACTCAAGAAGGTTGAAAGCTCTTGAACACAATCGCCAAGCATATGGAGGTTTCCAATCCATGGGGTGGAACCCCCAAATCATCCACTTTCATAGCATGAAATAAACCATCCAGCTATTGGGGTACCCGCATTGTAGGACATCGCCATATTATATAATGCCACTTTATTGAAACCACTAACCAGGCCAAAAACATGACTCCTGAGGCTGCAGCAATCCCAACATCCCGGCAGATGCCATCCTCGGAATAGCTCCATTTTTGGTTCGACTTATTTTTTGGTAGGGTAACTCAATAAAATGGGCTACGAGTCGAGTACTATGGGAAATCATGGGGAAATCATTGTTATAATTATGGGAAAATCATGGGAAGAAGATCGGAAAATTATGGATTCATATGGAATAAGATTGGAAGTTTTGGTGTTTCGTAATGAAACCACCCCCAATTTTGATTTATTATTTGATATACCGATACAACAGGGGTCGGTGGGGATGGTTTACTATAGACGAAAGGTCAAAAACAACATAAATCCCATCATGCCAATATTCAATACCGCCAATTGGCTTTCGTTTGGGGGGAATGCTGTCTTTTGGTGAATTTGATAGAAAAGGGTAACAGGATTCCACAAAATGGGAGGCTCCATACTGAAACATGATGAGACATTGGACATCAGGCGAGCTTAGAAATCTTAACGTTTGATCAACATCTCTACGATGTCACTGGAGATCAATGAGCATCAATACAATCAAACATGACAAATGTGGCTGCCTGGCCCCAAAATTGCATGGATGGTAGATCGGGTTTCTATCTTTGGGGGTGTTACCATGAAATAGACATGCCCAGTCCCTCTCCGGTTCTCAACACGTCTTGAATTTTGACCCACCAAACGATCATCAAGTGCATCAATGAGCTAGGTGGGTGTTTTTGACGCGCATGAACAATTTGGATATGGGGGTGAGAGTAGTTGAAACCATCAACTATTCCTAACACCAATATGTCACCATGTTTTTCTGAAAAGCCCCGTGATTTTTTCAGGCAAGTCAACTATGAGTAGCATAGCACAGAGACTTCAAACAGGGCCCTTAAAAATAGCCTCTAAAATCCAATGAATTCTGACAGATCTGCAGAATCTGCAGCGCTCCTTTTTTTTCCTTCGCAGCAGCGACTTCGGCAGAGGTTTCACTACACGGCCTCCCACTGGAAGCAAGTATGGGATGATGCGCGTCTGCCTCAGCGGAAACTGCCAGCAGCCAGCAGGGATGCTATGTTTGAAATGATGTGAAATGTGGTGCTAGTTGAGCCAATCTTAAGAAAATGCTGGGATAAAAATGTTGTTTTATTTTCAGGGAGATCATTGCTACAGTAAACAGAGGTTTTTGCACAAGTCAGCAATAGATGGTGGTTGAGCGCTAGACTACCCATTCTCCAAGATAGCAAAAGTCAATATCGGCACCATCATTTCA